TTGCCTGTATATGGCAAAACTTGACACATCTTATAAGAATGTGGGGAGTGGGAAGGTGAAGCTGCAAGGAGCACGGATATTGAAGGTAGATGAGTTTAAATATTTGGGGTCAATCCCCCCCAAAGCAACAGACAGTGAGGCAGAGAAGAGAGTAAAGGCAGGAGGGGGTGGGTGGAGACAAGTGTCAGGGTTTTTTTGTGAAAGAAGGATGGCAGCAAGAGTGAAAAGGTAGATTTACAAGACAGTAGTGAGGCCTTCTCTGATGTATGTTTTGGCAGAATGACAGAAAGACAGGAGGCAGAGGTGGAGGTGGTAGAATTGAAGATCCAAAGATTTTCATCCCATTCGGGAGTGACCTGGACAGGACAGGATTCGAAAATACACAGCCCAAAGACATACATGTTGGGTTAATTGGAGATTCTAAATTGGCCACCGGTGTTAATATCAGTGTCTGTCTCTTTGTCTTAACTGTTTGATAAAATGGCATGACCGGCATGTACCCTGTCCTTCACCCTACAACAGCTGAGATTCTGAAACCCCATGGCCCAAAACTGAATAGGTTAAGAAAATGGACGGATGAATGAAAAAAAAAAAAGACTGCAGTATAAATGCAGTATCAAAATTAAATTCACACAAAGTGATAAAGTTTTGTCGTGTTTTGGTTGGGCTCCATATTCCACTGTACTGAAAACTGTAGAAAGACACATTTCACACATCAAAATGGAAAAAAAAACCCCAAGGTAACTAGACAACAAAAGTAGACTTTTAGGAAATTTCTTATAGTAGGGCTGTCAGAGGGTCTATTCACAACAGGATAATCCCATTCTGGTCCCATGTGCAAACACAAGGTCCAATATTTCAGTGAAATAGGGTTTATGTTTGTTAGGTGACCCAACATTGGATGGATGACCTCTCAATCCTCACCAGGTCCAGTAATGTACACAAGAGTAGATGTTTCTCTTCAGCTCTCGCACTGCAGTGGCTCCTTTAATGGTGTATTGTGTTCAGCAAGGAATGGATAGACAACTTCTGCTGTTACATTGAGCTTTAACCCAGTATACATAGCATTCCTTTCAAATGACTGTCATTGTTTTGGGTTTTATTGATGATTCCGTGATTCCAACAAACTTCATCATTTCTATTTTATAACAAACTAACAGAACAAGATAAAGGCTGATAAATACACATTGAATGATTTACATAAGATTTTTTGTAGACAGTAGTGTGATTAAAATTTGTTTTAAAGATGGAACAAGAGGACATTTGTAGAATTTTAAAGGCATCCCTTTAAAATTCTACAAATGTTCCAACAAACAAACATGTTAAAGCGAACGCAAAATTCATGTCAAAAAGAAGTGCAGATCAAAGCATGCATATTTATCTTGTGTGTTTTAATACATTTAGGGGGATTTCAAATGACAATTAATAAATTGTAAAAATTCAGCACAAAAAGAAAATGTAAGATACAGAGGCAGAAAGAATTTAATGAAAACCAGCCCTGCATCCATATAAATACTGGGTCAGATGTCAAGGTGGGTATGTTTGTTCATTTTCCATTTAGATGAAAAAATGTGTGCAGGTCCCATCTGATGCTCAGAAAGTGCCTTGGGGACTTTGACAGAAATTGAGAGACTGAGAAACCACAGAATGACAACAAATGTCAGAAAAAGTCGTTGCAGACAGTGGTCTCTGCGGTGTTGTTGTGTACACATACTGAGGAATAGAAGCTGTTCCAGAAGTGGGATTTTCAATGTCACCATACTTTCTACAGCTGTGTCTGTAACTATGTATTCATCTACCTGTTGTTGCATCGACTCTACACAACAAAGATGTATGCATACCAGTTTAATTTCAAAATGATTTCATATTTGTTTTTCCATAAAGTACATTAAAAGGAGTGCCAAATCTTTCCATATCAAATGTTTGTTTTTTTTACATTGGATAAAATGGTAACCAATATTCCAAATTAATATGGGTGTATTTTTCAGGATGTATAAAGGCGATCACCCAAATCTTGAACTTTAATATATGCTATAAACAGAAACTGGAAAATAACCAACACACAATAATGCAAAAACATAAAAACAGACAGGCAGCATATGAAGAACAGACACAAGGCTCATATCTAAATTAAAACCATAGCTGATGCTACAACAAAGACTGAGGGGAAGAAATGATTAGTTATACACATTAGGATTAGGAAATGGGGAACAGGATTGGTAACAAGACACAGGTGCAATCAATCACACACAAGTGAAGCTTGTCAATAAAATCAGGGGGGAAACAGGAAGCAAAACTAACCTAAGACACAAAAGAAATCAAACCTTCAAAGTAAAGACAGAAAGTAAAGTACAGCAAAATCACAAATCAGAACACAACACAGAAACTTTGTACTGGGAAAATCCAAACACACTTTAGAATCACCATTTCACCTAACCCCACTAACTTCAAGTCTTTGGACTGTGGGAGGAGGCTTGAATGAACCCAGACAAACTCGGGGAGGATTTCCAAACTCCAGATCTCAAGGTACTGAGTTCAAATCCACCATCTGGCCAGATGAACTCAGGACCTTATTGCTGTGAGGCAATAGGCATAATCACCATACCACAGTGCTGGCCATTTCTGGTATCATGTAGAATAGAAATCAAAGTCTCATTAAGACTCAGTATATAATAATAATAATAATAATAATAATAATAATAATAATTCAAAACTCAACCTATCAGATAACAATCAAAACTCTTGGGAAAACAAAGGCCTTAACTCAAACATTAAAAAAACTCACATGAATGAAAAAAAACAAAACAAAACGGGACCATGACAATATCTGTAATACAGTAAATACATACATTTCTCAAATTTCTGTTAAATTACACGTGCTTCAAACAACATACAACACATGTGCCATGTTCACTGTATAGACAAAATAACAAAGACCAACTAATAAACCTGTAGTTGATCAGCAAGATTTTATGAATCTTTATGATAAGATACTCTCGAACTCAAAGATAAGAACAAGCTGAAACAAAAAACTAAACAGAAACTGAAAACTTTGACACAGGGTCCTTTTACAGTAGATGCTCATGATACAGATTAATTCAGAACCCAGCATGAATTATACTGCAAATAAGCATCTGAAAAATTATCCATAAAAGACTTACTATTCTTTGACTTATATGTCTCATCTAGCTGCTACCTGTTGGTTGTCTAAACTTGTATTCTATGATAAAAAAAATTTTTAACAAAAAGCTGTTACTTAAGTAACCTATTTGAAAATGCAAGTATTCATGTGGCAACACGCTAACATCGCAGGGGATTTCCACATGCATTCTAAATTTTGTATTACACAGGTATTTTCTCTAGTTTCTTTTTGAGTGTACTGATGTGAATTTGCTCTGTTTCTGTGGTTTTATTTTTCCTTTTTCTCCAATAATGTGCACTTAATGGAAGGTTAGTGAAATTTTTAAATGAGCTATAACAGTGGTAAATTAGTGGCCTCTAAATTGATATGGTACTGAAAATGTAATCCAGAATCCTGAAACCAAACTGGGGTCTGCGAGTTGCCTGCTATTTACCTGCCTGTTGTAATTAATGTAGAATAGTATGATTTTCCAAGATTGTTATAAATGTTTTAAGGAAAGTAACCAATTAAAGTTATAGTTACAGAATAATTATATGACTGCCTGCTTTATTGACAGATGGTAGTGAAATGTTATTATCTTTTTTTTTACAGTAGGATTTTTTGTGCGGGTATAATTATGATAACCAGCATCCTGGGTTTTATGGGCTCTTTTGACAGTACAGAATGCTAAAATATGGTATAGCAAAATGTTTCATTTGCTGTATACTATCTGTCCAAAACTGCATTTTTCATGCTCATGGCCCTTTGGATTTCCTTTCATTCCAGACATTCACAGAAGGCATCACCAACCAGCTTATTGGCTGCTACGTGGGCTCTCTCCTGGAGCCTGGTTGTGTCTTGGTGCGACTATATGGCAAAATGACAGAGCTCTACGTGAACAGGGACCATGAAGTGGAGATGTTTCAGATCCTCCACGCACACAGATGTGGTCCTGAAATTTACTGCAGCTTCCAGAATGGCATCTGCTACGAGTTTGTAAGAGGAACTGTGCTGGATGATAAACTGCTTCGGCAGCCGTCTATCTACAGGTCTCTGCAATAACAGCGTTCGCATTTCACACATACACACACACACACATATAGATAAACATCATCTAATTAAATGTATATAATTGTGAATACATTAAAATAGCAAAATTATTTCACAGCTTTACAATCTGTATATTCAAGTTGACAATAAACCTGCCCTAATTTAAGAAACATGAAAGAAAATAATGACAATTCTGATTATTGTCTGGTATGCAAAGTTCATATCCTGAGTATAACTACTGTGTAGGTTTGTAATGATTTAATATCAAAGCGTAAGGGCAGGAGGTTTATTTGTTTATTTATTAGTTTATATGAATAGAAGATTTTTGGCTTTTCTTGCCTCAACATGTTCTTTTCAAATCTTTTTCTCAAACTAGTACAAAAAGGTTTTCAAAATTATCCACTGTAAATAATCATTGTTGATATTTGTTATCCATTTAAAGCTAAGTGTATCAAATATGATACTTTGCATACTAGATTTTGAGACAATAAATAACAAAAAAATGGCAGATGTGGCATATATGACAGAGATCCAAACTAAAATCTGCAAATAATATTATTTTTTTAAATTATTATTTTGTTAGAAGGTTCAATAAACACGCCAAAAAATAAAAAAATAAAAAAAAATAAAAAAAACAGCAGTCTGAACTTCAGCAGCACTTACATCCACAAAACTTCACTGTTAATAATCTGGAGCCTGATTTGTATAACATTTAGCACAAGTGGAGTCTATCATCAGTGAATGCTACATCCAGATGAACAGAATCAAAAGAATAAAAAAAAAAACAAAAAACAAAAAACAAACAAAAAAAACAAAAAACAAAACAAAACACATTTCTGGGCAGGACTTGTAGAGTGATAAATAGAGATATCCAAAATCTCCTGAATTAAATGTAGTATGGACATTTTTTATTTTTACATTATTTTATGCAACTTTAACTTTTATTTCTGAGAAAGAGAATATTTATTGATAGGACATCATTTGCACATCATATCATAAATTTCAGAAAACTTGTAACTCAATTTCTTTTTTATTTTTAATGGAAATAATTAACTTTGGACATTTCATTTGAAGTCATCATTGTACATCATCATCATTTTTTGAGTTCAGGTGTGTACATGCAAACCAAACAGTTCATTTAATTTGTGCCAATGTGGGAGTTTGTTATTAGTAATTTGAGTCATGTTTCATGTTGAGCAATGACATTTGTTCGTGCCCCCATTACATTCATCATTCCCATGATAACAACCTGTCATCATTATTCACAACTCAGGACAGTAGAACTCAACATAGCCAGCCAAGGTTTCACATCCAGGGCCACAATAGACATCAATCAACTTGCTCTGCCTGATACCCTGTGTGGGGAATACCCAGAAAACTTTATGTCACCATTAAGATGCCTTGAGAATGAGCGCTCAAATGGTCAAAAGGTCATAACCACAACAAGGTCCATTTTTTGAAAAGAAGAACAAGATAAGAGCACTAAATGTAGAGGGAGTTGTGTTTCTGCTCTGATAATGATTGTTTGTGCAATAACAGCGTCAGCCAGGCTCATCTGAGAAAATGTTTTCTCTCTGCAGATTGATCGCCACAGAGATGGGGAAAATCCATTCGATCCAGCCAAAATCCGGTCGGCCAGTCAAACCTGTGCTGTGGACAAAAATGTCTCATTTCCTCAAACTAGTGCAGAGCAGTGTCAGCAGCAGTCCAGCTGGGCAGTGGTACATAGGCAGGTACAAGTCATGATAGCCACAGAGCACAATACAATATATAATGCATAATATTTACAATACATCCACTTGTGATTGACCCATTAAGCAACTGCACTGGAAAAAGACAGGAAGATTTGCACTACGCAATAACATATGGGCGGTAGCTTTGCTAAAAAAAACACTAACTACACTTTTTGTTTTGCCAAAGAAATATGCTTGGAGAACTGCTTGGCTGTTGATCACCTGGTGGGGTCATTCAAAGTATTGTTGTGTTGCTAGAGAAAACGAAAAATCCCCAAATGACATCAGAGCTCACAGATAAGCTCAAGCAGTCCTTTGGCATCAGGTGACAGCAGGTATCATTCCCATATGGACATTATTAGTGACATTATTAATATATCCTAGTATATTTGATTAACCGGCACATTATTATGAGACACTCTCTCACTCACTGACATGGGGAGCTACACATTAATATTACCTATTATGCAGCAGCTGCACAACACATCAAAGGTAAACACGTAAAACACGTACTGTAACAGCAGCAGTCATTTTCAGTGCCAGCAGCACCTCTGAAGTGCTCCTGGCTAAATCGTTATCACACTGTACAGGAGCAGAAGCACACAACTACTTGAGGTCACCAAAATGTCATTAACAGTTATTAGTTAGGCTACGAAATGTAGCATGGCATGATGTGTCCAGCACTAAATGGACCGTTAATATGCAATTCTATATTTCTTGTAAAAAATCAAGAGAGGTGTAAATCAGAGATGACTTGGTTAGTTTAATTAGTTGCTTACGTGACATCCACTATTACAACAATATCTTACTGCGATTAATCTACTGCTGTAATCATAATAATAAACTGTATAAAGTACAAGGGCTGAGAGCTTGACAGCTGTAACAACAGTAACTATGGGGGTGGGGCTTAGTGTTTAGTCAGTCATCCTGTCAGGAAGGTTTCAGACTAATGTGTGTGTGTGTGTGTGTGTGTGTGTGTGAGAGAGAGAGAGAGAGAGAGAGAGGCTGTCAATTATCTACTATACTGAAAACACAATGTTTAAAAAACAAAATACCTGATGACTTTGAGACAGGAGGGCACCCCGATGTTTAATTGTGCTGTCCTCTTTGATAGAAACCAGCTTCATTTTCAACTGTTTTATCTTTTAGGCAGCAGCTCTTTCACTGATGTCTTATCATTTTCTCACATTGCTCAAACCAGCCTAAAATGCTCTTGTCCATCCAAATCTTGCCTGGCTTAATGGGCAACAGGCATTTACCCCTCCTTACATGTATGGAAGCCATCACTGTGTGCTGTCACTGGTCAGAGAGATGAGGCGGGGGAGTGGCCTCATTGACACTGAGAGCTCTCATGGGTGAAGGGGTGAGAGGTAAGGGGGGTTACAGGGAAAGACACTACAGAGAAACAGACTCTTGGCTCTCCCTTATCGGTCAAACGCTGAACCTTATTTGTGTTTGCAGCAAAGGGGTCGGAAGTCCATGCAAACAGAAGCTGGAAGGCCCCAAGCTTTCTAGTCACTTTTCTTTTAGCGTGCAAGGCAGGTAGGAACTGAATGAGTCATCCATAAAGTAGAGGCTTGGAAGCAGAGGGCCTTTTATGATAAGAGGTACTTTTAACATCCAGGATTCACAAAAACAAAGGTCTCATAGAGATATAAGAGAAAATCTCCGTAATTAAAAAACTTAATTTGGGGGTCTGGGTTTTTTTTTTTTTTGCTAGCTAGCTAGCTAACTAGCTAGCTAATATGACAATCTAAATTGTGATAAACTACCTCGGACAAGCTGAAATGTATTTATTTATTTTATAACACACTGCACAGATAACAAAAATGTGTTAACACAAGACACCAAATTATGCATGGATGGGTTCTCTGCTACTGAAAATTAAGGCCACAGAGGAGTAATAACCTACTATTTAAGTCCCGTTGCTCCACACAGCAAAACAAGTTCACTTTTGCTAAAGTTGCATGCATATCCTGCTAAACTTCAGTTTTAAAGAGAACACTGAGAACATTGTGAACTCTTCCATTTTACCCACTAAAAGCAGTGAAAGCATGTCTGAATGTGGATCACTCTGCAATATACAATAGGAGACTGCACCACATTTCAGGGCCCAATAGATGGTGCTATATTGTGAAACATTTTTGAGACTTGACAGCCCTGTGCAGCTCGCGCTCAAGTAGATACAGAGCAATTTAAAATAACCTGAAAATGATCAGTATTTAGGAAATGTATCATAACAATGTGGGAAAGCTATGAGAAAATAATGGAAGAAACACTACAAATGACTCTGAGGTGTCAATACTAGAAATTAGAAATTGGGTTATTTTAATCTTACCTAATGTCTTCTCTCTGTGTGTGTGTGTGTGTGTGTGTGTGTGTTTGCATGTTAACTGGTCTCTTGAGTGTGAAAACTGCGTGCAAAACATGGCACAGAGACAGAAAAAGAAAAGACCAAAAAAACAGGTTTTAAACAAGCATCAGAGAAACTTTTGTACTTGAGACTGTATGAGTGCTGATATGAATGTGATATTCAGAGGAAATGGCAAAAGAAAGGCAGAGAAAGAGAGAGAGCAGGAAGAGGCTGCACCTGCAGAGGAGGTCTTCAGCTCTCAAGCCACCCGCTGTGCAGAGGGAGAGAGAGGGGGAGAGAGACAGATCGACAGAAGGAGAAGCGAAAGAGACGAGGGAAGGGGGAGCGCAAAAGAGGCTGCAGCAGCTGCAAGGTTCAGAGAGAGGGAGCACAGTAGAAGTCAGAGCTGGGAGAGAAAAGAAAGAAAGGCAATGGAAAGCAAGAGTGCAACCTCTTTTTCTTCCAAAGCCCCCCTGCTATGTCTCCCGTTTGCACTCTTACAAATTGCATAAAACTGCAAAAAATAGAAAGAGTGCTGGAGAAAAAAGACGAAAAAGAAAAAAAAATCTGCAGTGCTCGGCTGGTGTTTGAAATCATATGTAAATAAGGCACATTGATAATGAAGCGCCAGAGGAGGAAATTCCACTAATTACCTTACAGAGACTTGACAGGGAGCAGGAGGCGAATGTACTTGACGCACTGTTTTTCATGAAAAGGACAGAAAAGAGAGAGGAAAAGATCTGATGGCAAGACGACAGGTTTCCATTTAAAGTCAATGTAAGTCTTTCATTTAGCTTTTGATTCCAAGTAATCGTGGGTTCCTATGTGAACGTCGAGTTGTTAGGTTAAAGGAATGGGTTGGTTGAAAAGGAATCAGGGTGATTCACCATTCAACTGCATGTTTTATTTCATATTAGAGAGGAGATAGATAAATTATGCATGTCAGAGGGGGTCGATTTTAAATAAAGCTGTCACCGGCAAGTAGCTGTGAATCGAGCGCTCTATTCTGGGCCTATATTTTTTTTTTTTTTTAAAAAGGCAGTTTGGTGTTAAAATGTAAATCATTTGTACACTGATGCTTGAAAATAAAGTAAAATAAATCTTAGTTATTTTATCAAAGATCTTGTAACCAGGAAGTTGGTATTTTAAAATACTGCATGTGCCACACTTGCTTATCTCTTTTTATTCAATCCATGTATTTATCTCAGAGGGAAGCAAGACTGACTGAACAGAGCAGAGAAGATAACATACAAAGTGACTTGTTGTGTAGTGGAGGACATGCAGACAGCAGAGCCTCTGTGCCACGGCTATAAACACTATAAACAAGGCTCATCCTCCTCTGCTTTTATTGTGCGTTCCTTGCAGGCCTCACTAAATTATGTCTCCAAGTGTGTATAATACCGGAGCATCTGTTTGTTCCCTTTTCGAATAAATAGGTAGTGTTTAAATTACACTGTTTAAAGTACCCTCTTGCCGTGGCAGTCGTGGGGACCGGAAAGGAAACACAAAAATTAATTAGGAGACGGATGCTTGCACAGCATTTCTTCCAGGTGCATTTTGCACTGACGTCCAAGGACATTAGTGCCGTCTTTGATAGATTGAATAATCAAGAGAGTGAAAACAAGGCATGTGACCTCTCAGCGAGGCTTGCTGAACCGTGTCAGTTTACAAACAAGTTCTACTTTCTTGTCTCAAACTCTCTTGCTCCTCTTACCAAGTGTACGGAAGACTCTTATACAAGTTTAGTTCAGATTTTCATTGGGAAAAAACAATCCCATAGACAACTTCCATCTATCCATTTTCTTCCGCTATTTAAGTCAGGCCTGCAAGAGCCATCGTGGGGTGAGATGCAAGGTTGCACCCTGGACGCCAGTCTGTTGCAGTGCTAACACATAGAAACAGGCAACCATTCGCACTCATATTCACACCTATGGTCAATCTAGAATCACTACTTAACCTAGCTCGATGCATGCTTTCTTCATGTTTGATAAGGCAGATTTATTTTTATAAGCCGGATGCCTACCTACCTGCCAGGTGCAGCTGCGAGTTAAAGACATCACTCATTCATGGGGAAAAAAAGAGCCCTTTTCCATCATAAAAAATAAATAGTTTCAACGTTTTACCTCTTGCAGTTCTGCAGATCTACAAAAGGTGCCCAGCTTTAAGACTTTGTCACAGGAAATGGAGTCACTGAAGAGACACCTCTCTCAGATTGACTCGCCAACTGTCCTCTGCCACAACGACCTCCTGACAAAGAACATCATCTACAATGAAAAAGAGGGTGAGGAAAATTCTTTGGTTTTTAGAATTTCATCAACCTGAAAGCAGTAACAAACAAAAGAAGGCCTAATGCTAAACTACCTTAATTCTAGCTGAAGAGTGGCAGTGCTTCTGAAGCTAATGCTAAAATAGATGAATGTGTGGCAATATTCACATTACTGAAAATGCATTGTCCCTTATTTAATATCTTACCTTATTTGAAGTTATTCTGTTACAAATTTTTTAAACATTTAAAAAAAATATTGCCCGGGGTACTGTTCAGCAAAAGAGACTCCCTGTTCCTTTGACTCTCACAAGGTTCCTGTACTTTCCATAAAAACACGAAGGCTCATCAGTTGTACATCTATATCTGAAATGTGTTTATCATGTTGTCCTAGTAACTGCTGTTGCTTCCCCCCCCTCTACATCCATCAGGAATGGTGAAATTCATTGACTACGAGTACGCCGATTATAACTACCAGGCCTTCGATATCGGCAATCACTTCAATGAATTTGCTGGTGGGTCTTTCAAAATAGCATCAATTTACCTCCAAATCTTTTTCACAGCCAGGACATATAAGATTCCTTAATGTGGAATATATGACTGTAGTAAATATTGTAAATACAGGATGTGATATTTTCAACGTTGTGTTTTCTCTGACTACATCATGTTATGATATAATGTGCCGTGAAACGATCTCCTTCTTGTGACACTGCTCAGAAAAATTGCTGCATTCAGTATGTATTCTGCACAGTGATAAAAGTGGCTTTGATGGACCAGCTGTGTAAGAGCAAAGCACAAGAAGGACTGTCCGAACAATCATCAATGCAGTCGTTTTAGATTATTCAGCTTTCAAGTCGTAACTTGCAAATTATCTACAATTCCCTATGACAGCAGCTGAAGTTATGTCTGATAGTCTTATGCTGGAAGGGGCAGACATTCTCCACACGAATCACATGCTGGAATGAAAGATAACAACTTTTTATTGTGTTCTTTTTTTTTATCCTGATTATACCTCAAACAAAATTTGAAAATTAGCCGATGGCATGGTCTTGAATGATACAACTGTCTTGCAGACATTTGAACATAATTGTTTATGTAGGGAAGCTTTTATACGGGCAACATGAAAAACCAGTCTAGCTTAAATAAAGCGTTTCACTATTATCTGTACAATGTAACCCAGATGTTATGCTATTGCTGATGTATATAGAAGTCAATACATGTGTCTAATTGCCAGGGTGCTTATTTACACTTCACAACATTTTATTACATTTAATATTTTTATAATTCACAAAATTTTATTTTTTAATTTAAAGTAGACTTGTCAAATAAATGCAGTGCAGCAAAAAGCACAATACTTTCTCTGAAATTTAGTGGATAACATGTTATCCACTAAATTTCAACATATTGTTGTCAGCATGTTGTCAACCAGTTTCCATGCTGCTTTCTTATAACTTGTCCATTTGGAGCAAATGTTTCTCACTGCCTGAGTGGGTCTGACAAGTGTTGACCAAAGAGCTGTTGCTCCACTCAAAGTAGATATAGTTCACTGGCACGTCTTCAAAACAAAGAGTTATTTTAGGCATTGTGTTGAATTTTAGCACCGACGGTAGTTCCACTAATGTGTCGCATTTCAGGTGTGAATGATGTTAACTATGACCTCTACCCGAGCTGGGAGCTGCAGAGGGACTGGCTGACGGCCTATCTGGAGAGTTACAAGCACAGCACTGGACGTGAGGTCAAAGTCACGGAGGCAGAAGTTACGCAGCTCTACATTCAAGTCTGCAAATTCTCTCTTGTAAGTGTCTGCTCCCACTGACTTTGTTGAAATATATCATTATGTAGTGCCTCAGCTCTTTGGAAAGACTTTGGAAAGTGACAAATCTCTCAACAGTTATTTCCTTTTCTTAGGTTTTGCTCTTGGAGGGACTCGAATATCTCAATATTAAGAGATTAGCGTATGCATTTCAACAACATCCATATGTGTGCAGAGCTCTGGAATGGCGGGGTGGCAACACCTCACCATCATATTTTAACAATTTACTTTTCCAGCGCCCCCCCAACCCAAGGAAAACCAAACCATCCACAGCTGACCCACCACTGTTCAAACTTTGATGGACTCCATCTGAGTTGATTAGAAACTACCGCAGGGAAAAATGAAACACAGCAGCCAAAATTATTTTTCTTATGACCACAATTTTCATTCTTTGGTGTCTCAAGTGGTGCTGGACTATCTGTCTAAAAGTGCTTTCATAGCTCAACACAATATGCAGAATTGTCCAACCAATTTTGGGGCGGTGTAAATGTCTCTTGAAATAGCACAGAATTGATGAGAAGGCATATTACTTTTTAAAATAACTTGTGCTTCAGCCAAAAAAACCGAAAGGGAAATGCGTGCGTGTGTGTATAAGGGGTAGAATATAGCCTGAAACTGAATGATAGAAGTGATAATATCACGTTGATTGAAATCAGATTGTCTGCAACAAACCGAGGCGGACTCTTGAGGGTAGCAGTAGAAATTGATCACTAACGCCAAGTTTCCAGCTCAACTCGCTTTGACAAGCTGTGTGTCAAAATGAAGCATACAGGGCAGAATACTGATATGTTTCTGCTTAAAAATATTTACAAATACCCGCATCACGATTAAATAAATTGATTACATCTGCTTTTAATGAAATCAATTAAGTACAAGTTTATCGGTTTCTATCTCCTTAGTATCACTTGGTACATTTGTGAAATAAAAGTATGTTAAAATAATACCATGCTCCGTAGTTTATGATATAGACAAAAAGTGACACTGTAGGAATTGAGGGAAGCCATCCTGCACTGTGTGGCATCGAGGAGGCCTGGCCAGTTGCCAGAGCTCTGCGGCGTGGAGCTGCCTCCTTCCCATCTTAATCCTTGGCAAACTGTGCCAAGACGCAGTGGGGTCCTTACAATCCGTCCTCTCCTCCGCAGGGATCCCCCATGATGTTGAAGCTGTAGCCTGTGGCTTGATGATGTCACTCTTCCCACACATTTATCATCTCCATTTTTCTCAATGGCTCCCTGTCACCGATAGTCTCTGCTTAGTGTTAGATTAATGCTTTCTTAATGGAGAGCAGTTATTAATCATAATGGAAACACGCTCAATCTCCATCTCCAACTAAGGACAGAGATTAGAGATGAAAATCTGCCAGGGCGAAGGAGAAAAGCCAAGGGAAACCACACATTGCTCTTCAAGTATTTCATTCCACCCTTTATTTGATTATCAAATAAAAATGTGATTATATCACTGGGCCACAGAACAGAGGCCCTTCTGGATCTTATTAAGACTTGCTATTAGTGGCCTTACCATGAAGATTTACAATAAGGGTGGAGAACAACAGAAATTTATGGAGGTATGGAAGTCTGCAAGACTAAGTGAGCAAAACCATTAAGGAGGGAACCATTCAATACAGAGGTTTGTCATTCTGACTAAGCAGCGCGCAACTGGCATGCAGCGGGAGCAGCAGCAGTTCTGGGAGCAGTTACAACATGACAACCGGAGGTCACTGAAGTGTGTTTTCACAGTTGTGCGCTATGGCAAAGGGGAATGTTGCAGGAGCATAAAAATACAGCACCTGCGATTCTGCACTGCAAACACAATGCACAGTTTTACACTTCTCCTGGGACTGGCTGTGTGTTCTTAATGAGCCTGTCATTCAAAGAGATTCCTTCGGTTCATTGTCTCAGCGAGCACACATTTTCCCTGCTGAAGTGTTCCTGAGCAAAGCATAACATTTGACCTCACTGTGGCCTCTGTGTAGGAGGCAAAGAATTATGCTTTTGAAACTTTGTTGTTTCAAAAGGGCGTTTGAGAATCTCATTGTGGTCACATAATGCTGTCATGTTGTCATTCCTTTGATGACAGAGTCCAATATTGTACTGACTGTGTGAGCTTTAATACCACAGGTAGGCAGTACAACAGATAACTGTATTTTGTTAAACAGTACAATCCTTCAGTTATTTTTCCATTTTCCTATGATATTGTAATGGTCTTCTTTTTTCAATATTCAATCTTTATTTTTTATATACTAGCTCCCTGCAAAATCAATTTAAATTCTACAGTTTTGTAAAATACCTGCAAAGTAGCACCAAATCAGCTCAGACACAAATATGAACCAGTGTTACGCTTTTTCAAACTTTAATTTCTTTTTTTTTTTTACTTCCACCAGGCATCCAGCTTCCTCTGGGGTCTTTGGGCCATCCTGCAATCACGTTTCTCCTCGATTGACTTTGACTTCCAAAGGTTTGTCCAACGTCTGACAAAGACATTTAAAACTCCCACAACTCAAAGTATCACTCTGCATAAACAATGCTCAAGTTTCCTAAAATGTCCTGGGTGAGATGTCCCATCCATCAAAAACATGTTGAGTTCATTAGTATTTAAATTGATGTTCTAATTATGTTAAGTGACACCTTCACATTAAAACACTCTCAGTAAATGTTTAATAAAGGAACCCATGTAACCGCAAATAAGAATTATTACTTCACTGCAGTTTTTTTTCAGCAGTTAATGTCATCATCCATCACTTGAAATACTCTAAAAAAGAAAAATATTTATAGGACATTGAATTTAGGCTCTTGGTATATTACTGCAATGTTTAGACAAGCAGGATCTTCATTAGAAAGGAATGACAAAGAATTTGTTGGCAGACAAACTGCAAAAAAAAAAAAGCGGTTTAAAAACCTAAGCCTAGAATATAGAAATATTTCATTCTCCCCCCAATGCTTCAAGTCTTTGTGTATTTAAAATCTGGCATAAAAAACAGGCGAGACAAACACACTTCTTCTACTCTTCATGTCACAGACAAAATATTTACACATGAAATTCTCTGCTTTTCTTCACTGATAAGCCGCAACATCATAAGATGAAAGCCTCGGTTTTCACAAAGACTTTCAAAGGAGATCAAAACTAACGTCTTTTATTTTTAACAGTGATCACCATTGAGGACTAGTTATCTTAAACAAGTCCAGGAGACATTCCTCACCAGCAGCAGCACTCAGACAGTTCAGGAAGGCAAAATGTTTCCCTCAACCCCCACTTTTTTTCTGCCTTTCTCCTTTTTCTGCATGCCCCACACCCACAACAGTTGTGATCATGATCCTAATCACTATTGACACACGGCACCCTCCCCTCTGTGTGGCTTTTTCTACTCACTTGCAAGATCAGCGACAGGGCCCCCACCTCATTTCAATCTGGACCTTGGAGGAAATGTGATCCAGAGGGGTGCTGAGGCACAGAGGCACTATTGTTCCAGTGCCGTCGTTCCTGCCTTACATATACATCTCTCATCCCTGGCTGGGCCACATGTGCCTGCTGAACGTCTACTCCTTTAAGCTACCGGCTGAGGTTGTCCTAAAGTGGATGGTGAGGGTTGGGTTACCTTTCTTTAACTGGAGGGTTAAACTGAAATGAGCTCTGAGAGCAACAACAACAACGGAGAACCAAGTCTAATGTTTAAAAGCAGGAGGCTACTATCTAGCTAACCTCTGCCCCACGCCCATCCCTGTCATGCAAGACACATTCATGCACTTAAGCCTCCCTTTCAGGCAAGAGATACATAACATCGCTGGCTTCATCGATCTGTTAAAGTGACAACATTATTACATTCAGACATAGGTAACCTTAGTGCAGACATACATACAACAGACAACATCAGTAACTGTGCAATTTTTGTACAATACATGCAAATGAGTTTTGCTCTTCAAGAAGAAAAAGATAAGAAACTATTTAAACCTTGAGTTGTTGCATGGGTGTGCATACTTGTCTGTGTTGTGTGTGTAATTTCTCCCACTGCTATCCCCCTGAGCCAAATCTCCAATAACTTCCCAACGAGTGACAGGCGTCACCCAGGCCTTGTGCTCTAACCAGAGCCAGATGTAGATGTGACAATAGGGAGCCACAAGGGGAACGCAAACCCGCCCTCCTTTTACCATCCATATTTACTTTTCTTATATGGTTTTTTTCATGTGTTGAAAGTGTCTGCAAGTCAGCAGTCTAGATTTGTGGACGTGCTGGCAAGGCGAGCTGTTATTTGACAAAGACATTATTATAAGGAAATGAACAAGGAGGAGGCCCACTGTTTGGAATAGCTTGACTACAAAATTGAGGGAATTGTGCACAAAAGCACATTGTGAAATGGAATACCTGCATTGGCAGGAGATCATTTTCCCCTACTCTTGCTAAATACAAAAAAGCCTCCATTCATTTCTGATGAAGATAAACATTAAGTATGCTAGTCTTAGGTGTCACCCTTAATAAAAATAGGGATAAATGGGATTGTCTGTGAAGCTTGCTGTTCTTATAGGAGGGTGTCCTCAAATAGATTTTACCTGTGGAGGGTGTAATAGGCAATTAATAGAATAAACTACAGGGTGGGGTTGAGGTGTGTGTGTGTTAAATTAGCTGATAGTGAAGCTATTTTGACTTTTTACATTACTTGGTAGGAATCTATCAAACTCTGTACTAAACTGAAGAATAACACAGATTTTTTATTAAGTTGCTTTTTCTTTACTGGATTTTGTTGGGGAAAATCACAAGTGTGGATAAAAACAAGAAACTGCTGCCTGGAATTCTTTATCGAGGAATGTTTTGTATAGGAATGGTAAGCGATTCAATAAGAGAGCAATTAGTGTTTAAGTATTCTGTCAGTCTATATGTCTGAACTCGCCGGATTTTTCAGATTCACACAATTTTCATTTACGCACATGCAGTGGAATGAGTGCATTCAAAGAAGAGCAGTGCATACAGTGGACATAGCAGAGAGAAAAACTAGGCCGACATTGATTGGATTTGTTTCTTTTTACAAAAAACAAGTTCAGGACCACTATAGGAAATGAATGGGATTCCCCCCGAAGAAAACCTTGCTTATCTCAGCAAGACAATGTCAAACCACATTCAAGAATTACAACAGCATGGCTCTATAGGAAAGAGGTCTGAGTGCTGTGCAGTTACCCACTGAAAACTTTTTGTGTCATATGAAACATCAAGTACGAATGGGGGAAACATTAGGTTATCGACTACATGTCTCGTGGGTTTCCAACAGCTTTGCTAAAAGTAGTGATGAACATGCCCGCGTTACAACTTGAGCATGTTCCAGGATTTGTTTTGCTGGCATCCAAAACATAATCTAGTCATTAACAAACACTGGGCAGCAGGGTTCAGTGGTGTCACCCCACAGGGAGCATGCTAACTGCTAATTCTAAATTAGCTGTATTTCATCATATAATATATGAAAGTCATGTTCTGAGTCAATTCACAGTTTATACAGCATCCATATTTGTGTGGAAAGCAACTTGTTCATAGCTGTACAACAGCTCTACCTCCCCCACCTCCTGTATACAGAAAATGCTATTGTAGCAGTCAGCAGAATCTGATTCTAGTGGGTCATTATGAAAATATGAAAATGAAAATGATGAGCAAACACTTTAGTTTTCTGGACCAATAAGGATAAGGGAGGCTTCATTCTGCTGTCTGAGTAAATGAAAGAAGTGTCAGTTATCAACTGTAGCACATGACTTGCTTGAAATTAAGTCTGTCCAGAGAAAACGCCTGTTGAGGCGCCAAACCACAGCGAGCAAAGTGAAAATTGTCTGCTGGCCTCCGCCAATGATTTCTACTCCCCAAAATTTTTTTGCAGTGGCAAAGGTTATACACACAGTATACCAACTATCTCTATCAAACAAATACTGGTAAATCTAAAGGTCAGCCTTCAGCAAAGCAAAAACTAAAAGAAAGGAGAAAATGATGAACAAAAGCAGACAAAAACCCAGGCTTTGACACAATAATTAGAGTGTAGCTTTACCCAGAGATGCAGGTGGGAAAGAATAACTAAAAGGCATGTGACTAAATTATCATTTTGTCTCACAACACAAGCGCTTGAAAACTGATTTGGCATTGAGGAGTTCAGTGAAAGCACTGATTAAAGGACAAACTCCTCTCTGTGCCTATATTTTCTGTGCTTTTGAAACTTCACTTTATTTCAAAGGGTATAGTATAATGGCCAAGGGCAACAGCGTACTCAGACATCAGATTTATTGAGGCGTTCAATAATATGGTTTGAACACAAAACCACTTCTCTAGCCGTTAAATTCTGAGATGCGCTGAAGCTTTGGCACAGCTTTCAGGCTCATTGCTTCATTTGAGAGTCTTGATGCTATTGTTATGCAAGATTGACAAACAAAAACACAGTAGCCACCTATAAACCAGACAGAAAGAGCAGCCTGTAGCGAACAGTGAAAGATACATTATGGCCACAGATATATACAGAGGAGGGAAGCAACAAAGTACAACTACTTTGTTTTTGGACTTCTGTAGAACTTCTAGGTATGTGTACTTTACCTACTTTTGAGTTTTACTCCCTACAATTTAACAGAAATACCTCTACTTTATACTCATATATTTTCAAATGATGGAGTAGTCAGGACAAAAGAGAGGGGTTAAAGTGGGCTGCAGTGGTCCAGAACAGCATCCTCAATGTAGATGTGATCACTACAGCTTCTAGCTAGACTATAGAAGAGAAATGAGCATAAAGGGAGCATAAAGTGAGTAAAGTGTCAGCTAATTTCAGCTGAACTAATATCATGCAATTTGTCACAGAGCATGTCTGCTAGCTAAAGGTGCAGCTGCTGTATTTCAGTGGGAGAGAAAATAATGTGAGAAGTTAAGTCAGAGATGGAGAAAGACAAGACTGACAAAGACAGGACAAGAGAGTAGAAGACAGATTTCTATTGAAGCTAAGTCAGTGAAACCTGATAAACTGGAAATTTAAAGCCTACAAATAATGTCCACTTTCATTTTGTGAATAGATGTCTGAGCTTTACACAATTTCAAGTGATGTTTTTTCACACTGTGAAACTTTTTACAACACAAATTGTAAAATGTTTGAATAACTGTCTGTTATTCAAAGGTTCAGTGAACATGCTAGGCAGGCCAAACAGGTTAGTTTGCAGTGCTGTGGAGAGGTCTCAAGAGATGGACTAATGCAGTTGGCTGCCATGTTCATGGTCAATGTTAGGTTACATAAGGAGTAGCAGATATCAAAGACAGCTTAGTTGGATGATGCTGACTAGATTCACTCAGCCCAACTAATCTCAGGATCCCCATTCCTGCTGAATCCCACTTTAACCCCTGATTATATTCATTTTTCTGTTTAAATGTAGAGGCAGAACCTGCCATTTACAATGTAGGTAACCACAATTAGAACTTCCTCTTTTCTGTTCTACATAACAGATGTTTGAGATATTCATCAGACTAAGAATTTACAGCGCTTTACAGCAGTCACAGCGCTTCACCTGATCCACATTTGTCACATTTTGTTACAGCCTTGTTCCAAAATGGATTAAATTCATTTTTCAACTCAAAATTCTACACAAAATATCCCATATTAACAAAGTGAAAATGTCTACTTGATATTGTTGCATTCAATTAAATGTAAAAACAAAAATATAATATGTGCTTATGTATTCACAACTTTTGCCATGACACACAAAACAGGCATGTATCCTGTTTGCAGCTTGATTTGAGTCTCCCTGTGGTAAATTCAGTTGTTTGGACATGATTTGGAAAGGCACACACCTGTATATGTAAGGTCTCAAAGCTGACAGTGCATGTCAGAGTGCAAACCAATTCAGGACAATGATTTCAGCACCGCTCCACCAATCAGGCCTGTATGGTAGAGTGGCCAGGCAGAAGCCACTCCTCAGTAAAAGGAACATGAAAGCCTGCATACAGTTTGTTAAAAGGTACCTAACAGATTCTCAGATCATGAAACAAATATTGAACTCTTTGTCCTGAATGCCAACAGGGACACTGTCTAGTCAGGGTCAAGGGAAAGATAAATATATAGCAATGTACAGACACATCTTTGATGATGACCTGGTCCACAGTGCTCTAGACCTGTGGCAGGGGTGAAAGTTTATCTTCCAACAGGACAATGACCCTAAGCACACTGCCATGACAACAAGTGTGTGACCTCAGGACCACTCGGCAAATGCCCTTGAGTTACCTAGCCAGAGCCCAGACTTGAACCCAATGCTGAAAAACTATGAAAATGGGTGTTCACTGATGCAACCCATTCAACCTGATGGAGTTTCAGAGGTTCTGCCAAGCTTGTAGCATCAAACTCAAAAAGACTTCAATACAAAGTATTTAACAAAGGCTTGTAAATACTGTTTGTATTGTCATGTATTTTTTACTTTTATGTTTGGAGCACATTTCATGGACTGTACTGTTTCAGTTTAGTAAGAAGTTGAATCAGTTATTCAGCTTTTACCAGATAATTTTTTTAAAAGAATCTATAATTATATTTAGTATATAATCGTATTCATTATAATCTGCATTAGAATATTATATTTAACATATCATATATTATATAAATGTAATCATTATATAATAATTATATTACACATTTATATAATTATGTGGAAAATGTCTAATGAATGAATAATGAATAATAATTTTAGGTACTAATTTCTATTATTCTCATATAAAGACTGAGACTGAAAAGACATGAATATTTTGACATTACAAGTATGTTTCAAACAGTTTGCAAGTTGCCAATATGTCAAAGAGGCTTCAACCAAAGAATGTTAATAATATTATAAATATTATATGTTTACTACAGGCAAGTAGGGTCAAATAAAACTCTGTGTTGTTGAATTGAATTGTGGAACTGTAGCCCCTCAGATACCTTTTAGATGCTGTTTTTCTGTCAAAGCCAGTGGCACACAGGTATACACAAGGTTTCCATGATGCCATGATAAGTATTGTCAATAGTACGACGAGTCTTTTCACTCCCAGTTTGTCAATATGAATTCCAAATTGTCCCTGATGTTTCATGGGTGTGTCTGTAATTGGAAAAGCTCTGTGTAAATTTTTTAAGCACTGTACAAATGGGTAAATTTTTCTTCTCATGTAAACCATTACAAGTGGTGAGACTAGATTTAAATTTATTTTTTGTGAAACACCGCTTCATAAGTTACTCAAGTAAAACGTACAGTTATGGTAAAGAGTGATCTTAAGACAAAATTTGCCATTTTGTCATGATTGTTCATATAGGTAATGTAATTCAGTGTTGTACCACATGTATATGATCACATGAAATAGACAGGACAGTCTCAGTTATTTGACATACTTGCCTGAGCACATTTGATCTAAGGTTGACACATGCCACCCTTGACCAATGTGACTTTCCAGCCAACAGATCAATGTACAGCTGTACAGTCTTTAAGGCCCATTTAGTTTTTGTATAGTGTATAAGATTTTTTTCTGTTATCTAATCATGTGTTTTCTGTCTCCTGCTGTTTTATCAGATATGCCACTGCACGACTGAACTTCTATTTTGAGAAAAAAGAGGAATACTTTGGACTGGCAGTGAACTAATTAATCCCTCTACTTTTGCAGAAAAATTATGTGTTTCTTGTGTCAAACAGTGATGTGGACCATATGTGAGATGGTGGAAATGGAAAAGCATAGAATAACCTTATAAAAGTGCTTCCCATAGTTTGTTATTTCAGGCTGTATAGTGTGAGTTAATATGTTTTGCTATCACTGTGATTTTTAAAATATTTGTTTTACCACAGTCAGTATGCCGATAAGCCTATTTGGCAAATTGAGAAGAGGCTCGTGCCAGAAATGAATTAATTGTTCCCACATTCAGCCGAGTCACATAAAGCCACAAAAATTGAGCTTGATCATAAAACACATAAGAGGGTTATTTGCAGGCTTATTCAGTGTGTACCACAGTTTTGGTGGAAAACAAGCTTTCATTTCAACTTATTTACTGTACCAAGGGCATTATTTTAATGGTTCTCTTTCAGAATGACTTGCTATAAAAATATCATGTGTGACTTACAGGGTGTTCGTTAATGTTGCCATAAAATGAAAATTTAAGAGAAAATCTTTTGTGTTGACCAACATTATTGAAGCTGTCACTGTGTGAAGACAGGCGAAACCGAATCAGGAGTTACATGGTATGTACATGAACCAAAATGCAATGCTGACTGATATCAGTGCTTTAACAAGTGGATTTTACTTACTCTGTTCATTTAATAAGGTAAAAATGTACTTTAACTCCTAGTAGTGATCTGTTTTTTAGAAATATTCATCAAAATTTAGGCCCACAAACATTGTATGATCTTGGTGTAATCTCCTTGAATATGTCATAGCATAACAGGCACAGCCTTAATTATTGCTTTTTTTGTCATAGAGACTTGTAGGAATAACTAACCATTCACCCTTTTACTTAGATTTAAATGTCATGTGCCATGCATATACATAAACAATGAAATGGTTATGATTGACCAACATCAGGGAATTTGATTGAAATACTTTGCTGTTTGCTTTTCGGCTCAATTCAAATGCACTTATATAGCTCCAAATCAGAACAACCCTCGCCTCAAGGTGCTTTATGTTGTAAAGTATAGACCCTACAACAATATATTTGAAAATAAATAAGAGGTGTTAACAGGTACACTAAAGCTACTAGCTGAGGACATATTATTGTAAAAATACATTCTGTCATGCATTTAAGTGCACTTAAACTGTAATTATGAGGCAGATTGCTCACATTTTTATGCTTCCAAAGTATATAAATAACAGAACATAATGATATAAAGAGACAGAAATGAGCAGTGTGATCCAGATTCAACTTTGTAACTGTAAGAGCTTTTCAAATGAAAGCTTTCTTTATTTTACTGTTTAAAAGAATCTGGTATTGATTAAAAGTGCTACACTGATTGTTCATATAGGTAATGTAATTCAGTGTTGTACCACATGTATATGATCACATGAAACAGAACTTCAATTGTAGTAGAAAACTGAATAACGGCCATTAAAACAATAACTCTGGCCAATATCAGGAAGATGCTACCCTTATATGCAGCATAAAGCAGCGGATTTGTCCTCACTACTAAAAATATTGGTTTAGTGAGAATACAGCCTAAGTAGAGCGTGCAAGAACAGAAATAGTTACATGCTAATAAGACAACTTCAGCTCTTTGTAGCCTTCTGCACAGACAGCACGCTAATACAAAAGTAGCAACAACAAAAAAAAACTAGAATGTTAAAGTCATTCTGTGAAATGAAATAACATACTGATTACTTTTAAGAAAAGTAATTGGTTATGTGTAACACATTACCTTTGTTGAGTAACAACAGCAAAACTGAGCAGAGTGATGTAATTCTGTTGTTTAGGCTAAGGCAGGGTGGATGGCAGAGGCTCCATAGCTCATTAGTACAACTGTCTGATTCTTAAAATCAGCAAATACTTTTTCAGTATTCGACCAAAACCACAGTTTATTTTTCTCAAATGTTCACCAAGTGCTTATGGCCTTGTGATATATCTCCCACTGCCACAGTATTTTCACAATTGTCAAAACAGTATTTCCAGAATTGTCAAAACAGTTTCACCACAAACTCCATTTAATGGCTGTTCTGAAGTTTTTGATCCTATCACTGTATCTTCAGCGGATGGAGCAGCTTAGATGTCATGGAATTATCGATTTTTCTAAGCACTTAAAGGCAAATCTAGAGAAGAATGTCTGCATTTGGATGATTCGCCAGAACCTCAGACTATTTTGTTTTCTAACATTTGTAATGTCATTGCTTGGATTCTGTAACAGCATCTGCAGAATAACTTGAGGATAGAGATAGCTTGAAGTTATGGCACATAAAATATCATTAGGGAATGGTTAGGCTTAGGTAAGTCAAGGCTGGTTTTTATGCTTTGGCTCTGTGGTCTTACATGTTATTTAGTTTCAAGGTACCCAAAAAGTGAGTGACCTGTAAGCAGTGTAGAAACAGATGAAGCTACTGTGATACCTGCTGTATGTATTCTCTCCAGACACAGAAGGTTTGAGAAAGACATCACAATATGATTGATAAAATTGTGAAACTTTGTAGCTAAGTGATACCAAACTCCTGTATTAAAGTTGGTCTGTACACCACCCCAGCTTCCACACCCTTGTAATGTGCATTATTACATAAAAAGAAGAGTACATCCTGCAGTATTGAATGATGGCATTGGGCCTAAATGTTATAACACAAAAGGCATTGGCCAGTATACGCATATAAACACTTGAGATGAAAAGCTTTGCAGCAGAGAACAAAAAAAGGTTGAGGGGTCAAAACTCTTGAGACTGAGTGAGAAAATCAAAAGCAGGAGGCAAATATGGAATCTACAATGGAAGAGATTAAAATATGACTATAATAACTGGAAATGTTATGTTAAGTGAGAGATTTTATCCATAAGACTTTCCTTTTCTAATGTTGGTTCCTTGTAGGATAAATGGTTGGTAACTTGTCCTTCAAACAGTTTTGATTGGTAAATGATATGTTTGTGTGTACTCACAATCAAACACATCGGTCTTTACAAAGTACATGTGACATGCTCAGAAATGTCAATGAGTCCTTCCACTCTATGACTGCTTCTACTGTCTTTATCTGTGAAGGGAGCACAAAAGGGAATGTGATTGTAAAATCAGTAGAAAGGATTATGGCGGGTCAAATGAGGGGAGGACTAGCTACAATGGCGTTCTTTACCTCCTCATGGTCGCGCACAGTTCCACTCATCAAGGCTGCAGCCGTGTCTTTGAGTCAAACAATCCAGCTGCTTTCATGCTGGCATTTTTCGTTAAACATATAATATTTAATTAGCGGACTAATGCACTTAAAAAGACCCAAGGACTTTGGATCAAAAAGAAAAAAAATTGGCCTTTTGTCCATTGCCTATTTTCCTGAAAAAGTGCTGTAGATTTTTTCTTTCACTTTTAATTGCATTAAAAAAAAAGAAGTATATGCCTTTATGCAATGTTTCAAAGACATAGAAACCAGGGGAAAAAAACTGTGAAAGCAATTCCTTTCAAAGGGCTTTTTTGTATGATTCTCTTTTATTCAGACATTGCATTTAGCTTTTTAGTTATTGTTAAAGGACTGACAAGGCTGTTGACCCTTGGAATTCTAATAAGTACCCAGTTTGCAATTGTAATCAACTTACATTAGCAACAATATACTCAAGGGAAGGTTTTACTATAAATTCACTTGTTATACATGTTACATACAATGCACAACGCATGCTTTTTGTTCCTATATTATATAGAGTGCTGTCACTTTCTCAGTTCCATTTCTAAATTCACAAAGGAAGTCAAACCTTCTCCTGTTTTTTTCAAAACACATGAGCCACGTCACCAACTATTCAGTATAGCAAGTTCAAAACTAAAGACATTTCCATCAACCCCAGCTGTTCTTTTATTTTTTTCTACCAGTTAGCAAACTGTGTGTTAACAGGCTAATTCGAAAAGATGTCTCTTGGTGTTTAGAAACCCTCATTATTTAAAATCGAATCAATTAGGTTGCAGCTCCCTTGTTCACAAAAAGTTATATTTTAAAGGGTAATGTGAGAAAAGTATGAAAATCTTATTGCTCCTTCATCTATGACTTCCACTTTCCCAGTTAGTTTATCAGCTCAATTGCTCATTTGAAGTGTTGTTAAATATATTATTTGTCCATTTGTATATTAGGGCCCCAATTAGGATCCAAAAGAAGTATAACACAGGGCATTGGGTTTGATGAGTAACTACCTCAGTTTCTCAGTGAAGAACCATAGCTGACCATGATAAGCTTCAAAAAGAGATGATCTCATGAAGGGTATGACCGTCTTCTTTATACAGTCTGTGGTTTTCCATCAAGACCTACAAGACAACAGATGTCGGAAAAAGTGTGGAATTTGTGTATTTTGTGCATATGGAAATAATTTAAATGTAACGGTAAAGTGCAAACATATATAGACTATAAACTTTAATTTGTGTCAAATTTAGGGGAGGAAGTCATGTTTCTGCCCCAAATACCCAGAAATATTTAACTTTATTACGAGATTTAAAAAAAAATATTTTAAACTGTTTTTGTTTTGTATTGTATTTCAGTTGGGAAAATAAAACTTCTGGTGTATGTAAAAGCAAAGGCTTGTTTTAGATATCATATTCATGTGACCATACAACTCACTACACCACTGCGCTGCATTAGGTGGCGGAAATGCAGGAGATCAAAAGCCAGGCAATATCACAAAAACAGTGAGCATGGAGAAGATTCAAGCTGTGCTCTTGTTGATTGTAATTTTTTTTATGCTATTCTTGAGTTATTTAAAGAAAGCAGCTTCTTAAATCTAAACACTTCAACAGCTTTTTACAAGCTACAGCAGAGAAATAACATGAGAGAGATAAAATACTCGACTCGGAAATGTTCATGGCTGCAAACCAAACCCAAGTGCACCTGAACTTTCAGAGAAAACAACTTTCCCCCTGACAAGGAATTTTTCTTGGGGGGGCGTCCTCTTTTTGCCAAAAAGTGCAGTGGAAATATACCGAGTTGCTACAAATACTTGTAGTCCATGAAGAAAGTTTTTGCAGGGAAAACGCTGCTGCCTAATTTCACAAAGTAGTTAAAAGAACAGTTAGGAAAAAACAACCTCTAAATCATATGTAGACTTCTAGACGACTTTTTACCTGATACATCACACAAGTGGCACCCGTTGTGAAACATGATCAACTCGACAGGAGTGAAAGGGTCAATTAGTCTCCTTTAAATCAAAAGCATTTCAATGATTAAGCATCATAAGCTCAAAGAGGATGTAGTGTGCTGCAGCACCGTGACCATTCTGTGTGCTTTAATGAGTAGTGGAGCCTCAATGATCATAAACGGGCTGGCTTTGATGCCTCATTGAAAGAGCCTCTCCAACACGTCTGAAGGGGGCTCCTCCTTTGTAATAACAATTTATAATTCTCTTGATCTAAATGCCCAATTGGTGGGGAGAGGGGAAAAAGAAAGGATGTGGTTCTTTCTAGTCTTCAAGACGGTTTTTAAAAATCAAAAAGTGAATTTGCCTAGAGGGCCCAACCAAGACCAGGTTTCCATGAAGAAAGCATCTCAATATGTCTCATCATCCCCCACACACGAAACCTATGAGAAAAGAAAGGTAAATTCAAAGTCTATATAATCACACACTTTAAGTTTACTAATAAGTACATTTCTGCCTTATATGAAAGAAACGGTTGCCAACGTTATTAGCCAAGGTGTAGAGCTTTACTGCAAAACATTTAGTTTTCTTTTGGTGTGTGGCTGTCAAGTCATTTTAGTTATGTCCATGAAGTTCTTTGATTGATATAGTACACCTGATCCTGTTATGGATGACACAGTTTGTGCAAATGACCATAAAAAATATATCACTGCAACCCGCTGTTGCTAGTTGTGCATTTAGCTACCAGTAGCTACAACAACTGGGAAAAGTTTATGGAAACTGAGGATTACATCATTTTCCTTCAGGGATGAAATGTTAAGGGATAAATAAGTTTGTATACATTACTGCAGGCATGTACTTGAAATTATAACTGTGCTGTAACAAGCTACACTAACCTTTGTTGAGGTGCTGAAAGCTTCGCTTATGCTCACACCAACTGTGCACATACGCCCAAAAAAAAACCCTGTCAACTTGAAAACAACTAAATGTTCATCTTGAAGAAAGGAAAAAGGAAATGTAAGTTATGATGACTCGTTTAAAAAGCTTAGCATGGCAACAGTGCAAGTATGATTTCAAACACCCCTCCCAACTAAACGCTATAGCATAGCACACACACACATGCTCACAAAGGAGTGTGTGACAAACTTGCCGGCGCCCCTCGCTGGGTGACGCTACAGTTGATTTGGGAATTACAATTAGATTTATGATGTGGCTGCATATGGCTAAGCTCTCTGTTTCTCTCTCTGAAATGCTGGGATTGGCTGCAGCGAGCACCGGCGCCGTGCCGTATACACCACAGCACAGTCAGAATGTGTGGCGTTACCTCACACACGCATGCACGCACAATGGAACAATAGGCCACATTTACCGTAATGGGCCACCAAAATATAAAGAGCGAGTGGAATAGCTCAACTTTGGAAACAGACAGCCTTGTGTTGGAAATTATTAGATCCCTGGAAAGTAAGGGTACTATTTAGAGCAATGGAAATAAAAATTCATGCAGCACTACCTGTAAAGTTGTGCGCATCGCTTTCATACACAGAACACAATATGTTGGTGGGGGGTTTTCTGCAAATGAACAATTTTACAAAGCATTCAAAATATTTTTTCCCCCCAAAATTAAATACATGAAAAAAATAAAAGCAAAAATCTCAAGTCTTTACTTTTTTTTATTTATATATATTTTTTGATTGTCTTTCTCACCAAGTTGTACTGACACTTTTTAGAGCCAAAGCTGGCTAATAAATACAATGAAATGTTAAAACGCACAATTGGATTTCAAATACAATACTCATCACAAAAAAAAAATGTGTGTGACCAGGAAATGCTATGTTCTTCCTCTGCGGGTCACAACTGACAAGAGCATGAGGTTACCTTTCCAAAGAGATCAGAGGCGATGAGACCCCTTCAGGTGATACTAGAGCTGCGGCAACAAGATCTGCTTAAATAAATGAAATGCTTCCAAAGAAATGGCAATTTACTGGTGCCTCGCATGTACCAGGCTTCAAAAATGTGACTTTTAACTGACTAATATATCATGTTTAAAAATCAAACAACAACTTCACATTAGTCAATACTAAAAAACAAAAACAAACAAAAAAACAGATTCATATCCAGTGCTTAGGATGTGTATGAGACTAACAGAAATGTCTATGCACGAGGCTTTTTTTTATGTAACACAAGCAAAATCAGTGTTCAGTCCCAGCTTGTGAAGCATTTTCCAAGTAAAAACCGCCAGATATGGTCGTGAAGAGAAATTTGGGATCAAGATGACCGAAGCAGCTGAACAGAGCACCCAGAAACCACCCGAGGTCACACGTTTTAAGAATGGAAACATTAAAAATTTCAGAGAATGCTTTGAAAAGAGTAAAACTAAGATTCGTCTGCAGAGACATTTGAGTAAAACAGGGACTGCTGACTGCTGTGCTGCATCGAGACAATAGAGAAACATCTCGCTTCAGATGAGTGGAAAAACTTGTGTGCTCTGACTGGGGCGGTGGTTACTGAGAGGCAGACTGGTTAAGCACCTTTCCCCTTCGCTAATATTCTCTTAATAATTTGCTCATGTTCAAAATACAAATGCAGTGTAGAAAAAAAAAGGTACCCTTTTGAAACAGCGGACCTATTAAACCCATTTTTTTTGTAACTATATAAATAATTTTTTAAAACACAAGTTTGGCATATATTTCCAACATAATGCTAAGAAGACATTTAAAAATTAACAAGCTAATAAAAGAAGTAATATTTGTTACATTTTTGTACCAATGCTAAACACAATACAGTGAAGGGATTCATGATATTACAATTTCTTATCCTACAATAGGGTCATCCAGGGGTGCACCTTCATCTTCCTATTCCAACTGAATGAACAGATTCAAAGGTTCACTTTTAAGACTAGGGGGATTCCTAAAGTGAAATCAAGCTAAAGGCTACCTTTACCTTTAGCCTGTTTTAAAGGGACAGAAACATTTCTAATACTGCACTGCACTTAATGCATTTGGCCTCAAAGAACATTGGGCAGTGTGGTTTATGGAAGCACTAGTGCAGTGGAATAAAGGAATAGGCGCCTTCGATGCTGCTCTTCTAACTACGTCTCAGAGCCATAGGGTCTGCCAGAGAACGACATTCTGTGTGTGTGTGAGACTAAGCAAGTGTGATGAAAAAATAACCTCCCTGAGCACTGTTTGTGTTTGGGCCAGGAGGGGAGCCAGCAGTTGATGAGTAGGAACCCACTTCATCAAATAGAAAAAATTGATTGTATAAGACTTTTGCAGCATTGGAAATTAAGACTACAACATCCCAAGTGAATGTGAATGTTTGGCACATTTGAAGAAAATCTGTACAATTTATGGGTACTTACTTACTTATTTAATAATAATAATAATAATAATAATAATAATAATAATAATAATAATAATGTAAGGGAATTTGCTCCCTTTATTTCATTGACAGTCTGAAAAGTCCTACCACTCTTTTTGTATGAAAACAAACAAAACAAATAACACATTCACAAGCTGGCACATCATACCTGAGCTGGGATATTTTAAAAAAAGAAACAGTAATGTAAGGTAAGCAGTTTGTCAGAAAAAAAAGTGTGTAGCAAAGAAATCGTAAGAAACAAAAGTAAGACTATAAGGTTACAAGAGCTAGGATTTATATTAAAAACTTTCCAAATTTCAAGTTCCGACAGTCTAGAGTTTGTACAGGCAGTGACCTGTCAGAAAAAAGTCTATAGAACAAAAAAAGCAAAAAGGAAAAAAAAAGACAAAAAGTAAATACATAACAATGAAAACTAAATCACTCCTTAAACATTTAAGACCAAATAGCTGTTGAAGACCGATTCCTAATTCTTCGAAATCCATGCATGCCCTTTTACAAACTACACAGCAATGTGTTCGTCGCTCGTTTGTTCTTTGTCCCATTCTCTCTCATCCTCTGTTGTCTAACTCTTTTTTTTTCTCGCTCCTGTTAAGATTGTCAAAGTAGAGGAAAGTGAAGTTCACTGTCAGCTGGACATCTGAAGATTGATCAGACTGTATTCTTGGGTCACGTTTTTCCTATTCCTTCGTTTTTCCATTTCTTCAAATGGGCGTCCATCAAAGATACTATCCCAGAACTTTCTAAACATGTCTGAGCTGATTTGAAATCCTGTTGGGGCATGCTCAGTGCATGACGCAACATGTCCTGAAAAGTTAAACTGAAGGTTTCAGTAATAAAATGTCTTTTTAAGAAATGTCTCTGACTATAATGGGAGTTGTTCTCTTTTTTCTTTTTTTACATTTGACACCCTGAGCTTACTCAGTTGGCACTGACAGCCTCATGTGTCTCGTGGTCGCTGCTATAGTCTGACTTGGGCTCATCCTCAAAGTCCTCATACATGTCCATGTCATTGTCTCCATTATTGGGGTCGCTGGGCAGATCCAAGGCTCCGATCACACTGCCATTGCTGCCTCCTCCACTGCCAGGCTCAGACTTTACACCGTACGTGCTCTGAATGACGGGGATGGCAGGATCAGGACTGGCCGAGTTGCTGGAGCAGTCTGAGGTCAGATGTGGGGATGGTGTAGCTGCTGTTGCCATACTTATGGCACCCGGGTAAACTCCTACACTTCCAGGACTGTTGCCCAGAGAAATGGGTGGCTGAGGCCTGAGTATGAAGGAAAGAAGATAAGGAAGAATTATATTATTTACACAACATAAAATGATTGAAAAGCTTTGTAACTTTTACAGTGTGATTTAAGTCTAGCAACAATGCTGGAAGCAGTCGAAAGGTGCACAAGGAGATGACCTTGACGGGGAGATTAGTTCAATGATATTTTTTTATTTATTCATTTAAGTCTCAACAAGCATGATCCAAAAATTACAGCGTTGAAGAATGTTAGAAATGATTGTCACTTTAAAGTTAAAGAAAAGACACTACGTCCCAGAGCCGCTGAACATCACAAGAAGGACTACTTATAAATGATAAAACTTCTAGCTGACTGATAGAGATCCATTTGTATTCTTCTGGGAGGTCAAATATGGCAATGAATCCTTAAACCAATAAAAACTGACCTAACTCAGTGTTCAGAACAAAAACCAGCTTTTAAAAACACACAATTTGTTAGACTGGCATAAAATAGTATTTTTGTACCAATAAGGTGATTCCCAAAGTAACAATATACTCCACAGTATGCTGTGTGCTCTTTAAAAATAAAATGGACAAGTGGTGAACAAAAAACAGGCAGCAGATGGGCAGTATCTGCAAGTCTGAAAGATTTAAGAAATAGGGGGGAAAAAATCAGCCAAAGACCTGACACAGAACTTGGGAGATATATCTGTTAAGCATTTTAGACAAAGGCTCATCTGTATGCATGCATGTTTGCTCATACGAATATATTTCTGAACCTATTTCTCCATTTTCCCTGCAAAGTATAAAGAAACGGGATGGCTCAAGACCTTTGCACAGTTGTGTTTTGGTACAAGCTAGACAGATCAGACACTGATTCGTTAGCCTTTGAACAACATCTGTGAACAAAACATGAATTCTTAAGCCATTTAAGTTCAACCACAACGCTTTTCATCTGGCTGAGCATGTCCTAACATAGAGCTCTACCTGCCATATCACAGCAGCATTAGCACTGTAGATGGAATGGGGGTAAATGCACATCATTCAAACAGGCCCCTCAGGCTCCTCAAATGAACCGCATAAAGTGGGAAAATTACTGTCACCTTTTTCACCTAACAGTTTTCTCTCCTCTGTCTCCTGAAACAATTACTGCCGTGTGCTCTGACAGACTCATTTTCACATTAAGCATTTTAAAATAACACTGGTTTAGCAATCTGGAATGTGCCAGAAACTAGTTGTGTACTGGCTCCTGTAGATGTTTGATTCAGCAACAACTGAAAACCCAGGCCTGGAGAATCTAAGCTTTCCTGCTTAGCGTACTTGACCACACACAGTAAATGTGGCATTCATCCTGTGACGTGTGCCTTGCGCTCATTCCCTCTCGAGCATGTGCTTACATTTCATATTCCACTGTGTCTGTCTGTGTCCAATTTCACTGCCCGCAAGCGCCCAGCATTGTCCTAATTTAATAAATGACAAGCTATTAAAAATCGCTCCTATTCAAAGCTGTGGCCTCTGGTAAATCCATCTCACTCATAGGCCACTGTGATGGCTTTAAACACATCCATGACTGGTTCCCATTAAGACAATGCCACTGTTTTTCCCCTTGCTGCACTGACTGCAGTTAAAAAAAAATATATCAAGCTCTTCAGCAAATGTTTAAGAGCTTTAGCAGATAGAACCACAAGAGGTTCCCAACCTTTCATAAAGGGCCCATAAACCTTGATGATCACTCCACTAACGTTAAACAAATGGACGCGGCTAAGAATTCTTTTCTATTCAAACTGAGACATATTAAGGAGGAAAAAAAGACCTCTCGTGAAATGCAAAGTTGGTTTTAATATATTTCTATACAATCAAATAAACTCAAAGAAGATAGATAAAATTACACAATGATAAATTATCTTTTTTTTCCTTTTTACTTGGACATATTTGGGGAGAGATGTCTGCTGGATTGAGAGACAACTTTATCGAAGGCCACAGGTCCATTGTAAATGACTCAAATCCATCTAGAGTGAGACACAAAGACTGTCTGTTATCCAAGGCTTAATATCGTCAATGGCTTGTGGTTCTTGATGCAAATGGACCTCTTTAAAGTTTTAATCTCTCAGTCTTAAACAGTCATAATATACACTCAAATGAAGATGTAACAGTGTAAAATAACCCTGCAACCATGCCAGCATTCTTGTCCAAATAATGGGCCAGTATTAGGTCACGAGGTCAAGCTAAATAGTGACATGACATGGCTTAACCTATTTGGGATTATAGGACTGAAGAAGTGCCACTGACAAAGTCCACGATCAGTCTATGAGAAACACCACCAAGTTAAATTATGTGGTTTAACTTCAGTTTACAGGGCAATTTTCTTCAAATAAGCATCAAATCACACTGTTATAAAGCAAAGTTATGTCAAATTATACTATCACTGTTATAAAATCTAAGTTCAACATAATTTGGTATAATGCTGTCTAATATATTTTGGATCAAATGACACTAATTGCATTTCCTAGTCAAGCCATAATTCACACATCGTTTAATTAGAGTACGAGTGCACTTGTGTGCTGTTTTATTAAATTTCTCTCAAAATATGGTTTGTTACATCTTACTAGTGTTCCATAAAATAAAGTGTGACCCACACAGCTCTCCTCTGAGCAGCACTGAATGCTGCATGACCCTGAGGGTGCCAACAATGCCAGAACCTTTTCACCACCTCGATTCATACCAGTCACTCAGAAAGAAGAAAATCTCTTCAGTGAGAGAAGGTTTACTTTTGACATGTTTAAGTATTTCTGGGATTTAAATCACAATTACACAGTACTGAAGGTCCTTCCATGAAAAAAAAAAACTAATTTGAAATTCAGTTCTAAAACCACGTAACTCGCCGACACGCTGCAGCTTTCCTTCAAACTCGTGCGATCACTCACTTTTTTAGCTTTGTACTCACCCCACAAAGAACTGCCTCATTTCCTGACGCCGTGAACGCATCATCTGCTTGTACTCCCCGATGCGTAGCTTCTTGCCATCAATGATGCAGGTTCTCTTGGGCCGTGGCTTGTACTTGTAGTTGGGATATTTCTCCAAGTGGATCTTGCTTAAGCGGGCCTGCTCCTCGTAATATGGCTGCTTTTCCTGGTTTGTCATGGCTTTCCAGCGAGAGCCTAGAGCGAAAAAAAAATGTAAAAAGTAATTGACACTTTAACTTAGGTTATATTTAAATATTTTAGTGTTACTAGTTCAGAGGGTGACTGAATTTAAATATCTGTACATTACCAAAGTTTAGTGAGTGACTAACATGGTTTCAGTGAGTTTTTTTCAAAATAGTTTCAGTGTGTGGTGAATCAAAGTTTTTCATAAAATTCCTGCAAAGCAAACATATTGTCACAGCTGCATTATTCAGTCACACAAAAGAAGCACCGCCTTGACAATTCTGGTTTCTTCCCGAGGTTGGATGCCTTCCTGTGAGCAGGCTCCATTGAGTGTTTAGCCTAGAAGGCTGTTTAAAACCAGGAGTGGATTACACTCTGCTTCGCTCAGGAAGAATGATACATTGTGTATGGCTTGTTTTCCTCGGTAAGAGGACCTTCTGAGCAAGTGAACAGGGCCATTACTGCGGGAACGCAGCACATCTGTGAAGCACTTTGACAGCTGATTATACACACTCTTCCTTGCTCTTCTGTTTATCAAGGTTTATCACAAACTCTTCTTGTACTTTTGTGACACAGGAAACACAGAAACGTTTTTCTTTCTTTTTTTTAAACTTGCCACCCACCTACTCCCTTAAGTCCAGCTGTGTTATTATTTTAGAGATGGATGTATTGTATACATACAGTCATATACACACTCATAATTCCACTTTTCCTTCTCGTCTCGTCACTGAACCCTAATAAAAATCCAGCAGGAGCGCGCGATTAGGCAATATACTTAATCAAATGATTTTCCCCTGTAATATGTTTCCACTGTAATAACAAAAACAAAGAAAAAAAAGGACTTTTGAAAGCACAAAGATTAATCGTCTAAATTCAGGATGCATGTTAAGAGCACAAAACATCCATTTATAGGACCCCTTTCAGAGACCTGAGTCAATAACACAGATCCACCTTAGAAAAAGCAATTCATTCACAATTCTCAGAAGTAGCATTTACGGCATTCAGCAAGCCTCAAGCTCACTTGAACTCTGCATTGTATGGTAGAAGTCTTAAGAACATTTCAGGAACAACCGTTATGCTCAGCATCATGTGAATGGATATCTGTGTTGAGGAGGTATTTTAACTGAATGCATCCATCACACTAGTCAGGCTGACACAGTGGAGCTCTGTGTGTGGAGTGTTCCAGGCTGAAAAACACACTAGTCATTCTTATAGTACCCACTTGACGGTAAGAAACCCTGTGAACTGCAGTATATAGCGGTAGGGTAACCTAATGAGCAGACAAGCTGACCTTAAACAAATCTGCCGTGTCACTTTACAGTCACTTAGAAAAAGAAAATAAAAAATTAAAGCAAACACTGGCGTATTCTTTTGTACAAAATTTAAAGGAAAGCAAAAGTACTTTGCCCTTACAACACCAGAACAACATATCGCCACAATATTGAGGTTTAGCTTTCTCGCTCATCAAACATAAACCCGCAAAATCTCACCAAGGATCTTGCTGATGTTGGAGTTGTGCATGTCGGGGAAGGTCTGCAGGATCTTCCTCCTCTCATCTTTGGCCCACACCATGAAGGCGTTCATGGGCCTCTTAATGTGGGGCTCGCTGTTGTTCCTGCCTCGTGCCTCTCTGAACACCCGTGCCTCTGCGATGTTACTCCCTAAAAAAAAAAAGAGATTACTATTGCTGTATGTTCACCATTAACGAGTTAGCTGTTCATACTTTCACACTTCAAATGCAGTGTATAACAAGGTGCCTGCTTCTTTGACTGAGGCACTTTTCTGTCTTCTTGGAAAGCGTAGCAAAGGTTTGGTGGAGTATTGCGGGCATAGTGTCCTTCATATCATTCCTACACACAAACACACGTGAACTTTGCACATTATGCTTAGTTTGCTTCCTCGTGATATTATCTCAGTGCTTAAGCTCCTGTGTTTACTCCTCTGACTCTAAACTAAACCACGATGAGCACTCCTTGGTGCCTGTAAACAGAATTGCTTTATGAGAAACAGGTGGGCTTGAAAAAAATCGGAAAGACAACATTACAAGGAAGTACTTTAAAAGAGCGCATTTAATGACTACATTTAATTTATAGTATGTAAAAATTAGCTCTTGTGACCGATTCATAATTATCTCTGTGACCATTCGCTACAGAAAACTTACTGCCCATTTTTGGTTTGCATACTAGGACTGGGTCACAAAAACTAGTGAAAAACATGAAGACAATTCATCCTCTTTTCCTACACTTACAGTAATATTGACATTTGACATTTTCAAGTGAGCAGAATGTTCACCGTAGTGTCCTAACGTCCAAAATAAATATTTGTATTTTCTGAATACCTGCATTTGTGAGCTTTCTGGTAGATGACTTATTGAGTATTAGTCTTAGTAGGAAGGCCCACAGAGGTAGGGCCTCTTCTAAATTTAACCATGTGAGTTACTGTCACTGGTATCAGTTTTATCTGAACAGGATGTGACTCGCACTCTATCTCTGAAAAAAACAAAACCAAAAAACATGCCATTTTGCATGCCAGTAGTCAGAAATATAGGTAAAAGAGTAGCAAAGGGGTAAGAGACAGAGGGACGTACCATCTAAATCTTCTGGTCTTGTCAGGTCAATGACTCGATGAACCATCTTCCCAGCATCCTCTCCGAGCTTCCCCAGGTGCTGGCTCAGTGTCTCATAGTGCAGCCGCTCCTACAGTAGAAAAAAAATGCAGAACTGCTGAAGTCTGAGGAATACTGTTCCTCAGACTTCAGCATTTGCTCGGTGGACTGATGGTGATTTTTCGTTTTTATGGGCCGATGATTT